GGAAACGCACAATCCCTCGGGCCGGGCCCTGCCTGCCGTCGTCTGGGACTTCTACCAGAATGGCTGCTCCCTGCGGCTCCTCTGCCCACAGGCTTTCTCCCCCACCGTCTGGCACTTCCTCTCCATCCTGCAGGAGCAGTTTGGCAGCATGGTGGGAGCCAACACATACCTCACGCCACCAGGGACACAGGGCTTCGCCCCCCACTACGATGACATCGAGGCCTTTGTGCTGCAGCTGGAGGGGAAGAAGCACTGGCGCGTCTACAGCCCCCGGACGGATGCCGAGGTGCTGCCCCAGTTCTCCAGTCCAAACCTAACGCAGGCTGAGCTCGGTGAGCCTGTGCTGGAGACGGTGCTTGAGGCCGGGGACCTGCTGTACTTCCCCCGTGGCTTTATCCACCAGGGCGACTGTCTCCCTGATGCACACTCGTTCCACATCACTGTGTCTTCCTACCAGAGGAATTCCTGGGGGGACCTTCTGGAGAAGCTCCTCCCAGCTGCCCTGCAGATGGCCCTGGAGGAGGATGTGGAGTACCGGCGAGGGCTTCCCATGGACTACCTGGGGTACATGGGGGTTGCCAACTCAGATGCAGTTGATGCTCGGCGAACAGCCTTTGTGGAGAAGGTGCAGAGCCTGATAAAGAGACTTATTGACTATGCACCCATTGATGCTGCTGTGGATCAGATGGCCAGGTCATTTCTTCATGACTGTCTGCCCCCTGTGCTTACACAGAGTGAAAAGGCGCAAAGTATCTATGGCTTCCCAGCCCGGTGGCAAGATGGAGGCCCTCACAATGTTGATATACAGATAACAAAAGACACCGAAATACGCCTCCTCCGCCATGGCATTGTTAGATTATGTAATGAAGAAACAGGTGTGATGCTGTATTACACGACAGAAAACTCAAGAGTGTATCACAAAGAAGAACCCAAGTTCTTTGAGCTAGATCCTGAGTATACAGACAGTATCGAATTTCTGCTGTCTTCCTATCCAAATCACATCAGTGTGGGTAACCTTCCATGTGAAACCTTGGAGGAGAGGATTTCTCTAGCCACACTCCTGTTTGAGAAGGGCATTCTGACTACGAAGAAGCCTCTGGTGCAAGTGTAACTCTTATTTTTTAACAAAATAAACATACATTTGTTTAGGAAGTGTTCTGTCTTGGTCTTGCCTTACACCTGCTAGATGTGAATCAGCAGTCCAGGTCCCTGCATCTCATCTAGGGGCAAAAGGGCTATGGTATGGGTAGGGAAATGTTCTGATTACAGTGGGTATCTGCTCTAGGAGTACAGTGGCTGAGTGACTAGAGAAGGGAAAATGTTATTACACCCTAGGTGTTACAGGCATGTTACTACACCCTAGGTAACTTCAGGAACCTAGTGACCTTTCTTGCAGTCTGTAAATCATCTCTGTATTTTCACAGTATTTTATAGCAGCCTGCTCTGCTGTGGGAAGTACTCTTATTCACAGGCAGATTTGGCGATGGTCAGCATTCTGTGTGCCTGTGCTGTGCCATGCTGGTCAGCATTCTGTGTGCCTGTGCTGTGCCATGCTGCATAGGCCTTCAGGCCTATGCTGTGTTGTAAAGATCCCTTGGTCACAGAAAAAATTTGTCCAGCTCTTCTTAGAAGTGGAGCTTGTGGGCAGCTCCCACTCAGTTCCAGCAATTACATTACCTACGTGAGCCTGCCCTTATCACACAGTGCAGCAAGATGTCCTCAGGCAAACATGATCTGCTGCATTTGAAATGTTTCAGGCTCACTTGCATCTTCTTCAGTCTGCAAGGTGTCTTGGTAATAAAATAACCTCCCCTACTGGTTTTCCCACAGCAGCCCCTAGCAATGAAATTATTGGTCCTTTCAAAGCAAATGGGGCACCCTCTAATATGGCTTTTTTTGTGCTAGGTGAAAAAAGTTTCATTTAAGGACCTATCAAATTACATGAACACATGCCTGGCTGTGTGGCCAGTTTCCATAAGTACTGACAAATCTCTAATATGCTTTTCCTCAGTGCTATTTGATCATAGCAGTCAGCAGGTGAGGAATATTCTGTCTTTAAAGCCTCCTGAAGCTATATCCACAAGGAGCAGGGTGTATTACCCTGTGGTCCTCTGAGCTGTTGGATCATCAGGGTTTTGCAGGATGGCACACATGCACTTTTAACTGGTTAGGATTTAAGTGTACGCTATGTCCTCCAAGGTCCCATACTTGCAAAAGCCAGTGTGCCAGCCTTTCTTCCCTCTTTTGCCTGTATGCATTTGCTAAATCTTGAAACTCGGGCTGTGTAAAACTGCACAGCACAAGAGAGTGCTGAGGTGCCCTGTAGCCCTCTTTGATCTCTAAATCACTAGTGGCTGGACAGAAATGCTGTTGTCACATGTCCTCTGACCCTTTTGTCATCCTTAGCAGAGGGTCAGCCATCCTTGTCCCACCATTCATGCCCCTGGTAAATATCTCATGCCCGGTTCCTGGGCTGCTCTGTGTGGCCCCTGTGCAACCATGGGCACCTGCACTGCAGTTTGCTGCTTGGGGGCTTGTGGTGCAGTGCTGCACCAGGAGCTCATGCAGCCCTTCCTATGATGGTTATAAGCACCCCCATGTCCATTTCAAGTACATTAATGACAATCAAAGATGGCACAAATTTTCCTTAGCTTTTCCTTTCCCTGGACCCTGTCTCCTAAAACAACATAATACTGCAGCTGGGATGAGAATTCTGATAATTCCTCCCCAGCTTCTGAATCTACTAAGGAAACTACCTGGGCTAAACACCTTACACATACTCCTCATGGTTTTACCCAGGGCTAGCCAGGCACAGAGTTTCTCTTTTTCTCTTGGTTCTTTCTCCATAAAGGTATTTCTCACTAAGACTGGTGAGAAATTGCACTGGGAGGTGCTGGTCCATTATGATCCCAGAAAAGCACTTTTGTAAGAGAAGTACTCACATTCTGTAAAGTATCTAAAAATGCTATTTATTAGAGCTAACACTCTAAAAAGAGAGTAGTATAGATAATCTTACACCCCTTTAGATGCTGAGAACCCTGAGCAATGAAGCATGTGACAGGACTCCACCCCACATACAGCATATCATGCAGACATGGTCCATAGCAGATTCTCCCCTTTCAGTCTTTTAGGGTATTGTAAGATTTTTGTATAAGGAAACAGCTCTATTTATCACGTCTACAGTCAAAGAGAGACAATGTTTGCATGGGAATATCTTGCTGCACTGTTTGACAAGGGCAGGGCCACGCAGGTCTTGTAACCACAAGTACTGACTGGAAGCTGCCTGTGAGCTTCTGTGTAAGGAAGAGATGGCTGAGTTTCCCATAAGGCTTGGAATCTGTGCAGCACAACATAGGCCTGAAGGCCATATTGTAAGGACAGTGCAGCACAGCACAAGCATCAAAGGCACAGGGCAGTGTTGTGTCCTCCAGAGGCTACACCATGGCTATTGGAGGGGAATGTTCTGCATGCTGTAAGGCAAGGCAAGGCAAGGACCATGCTGAGAGTTCCCTCACACAGTTCCAAACAGCACAGAAACACAAACGAAGGTACAGGGAGCACATCCAGCAACTTTTCCAAGAGGAGCTGTGCAGGACAGAAAAGCTGTGAGAGAGCTAGGTTTTATTTGCTTTTGTAATCAGCCCCTCAGGGCATTGGTACAGCATCTTTTTGAAGGATACAAGAACCACTGGCTTCACAATAACCACACGGGGCACAGAAAGTGGGGGGCAAAGCCGGCCGTCCCACCTGGGCAGGAGGAGGAGGCAGCACTCCATGACTGGCTGCCCAGGCACAAGAAGCCAGAACATCCAGCTTAAATACAGTCATGATGCAGCTGAGTGGATCACAGAAGCTGCAAATTGCTCCCAGCCTTCTTTGCTGAGCATGGTTGTGGTCATGGCAGACAAGGTTTCTCCTGTCCAGCATTTCCACATCACTCACTTACCATCCCTGGCCCCTTCCATATACCTCGCGCCTGCCGCCTGCAGCCACTTTGACGTGCCTGTCACTCTGCCAGAGTTATCTCTGGGGAAAGCTGTACAAATACTCACCTGGCATAGCTAGCATCTACCGGAATGCTCGCCTAGGAAAGGGGAAGGATCAAACAGATATGCACTGGAAGGATAGAGGATGAGGTTCTATTCAGGTACCATCATCTGGAGTGCCAGAGATGGTGTCTGAGACATAACAAGGTGGGCAGAAGTGGAGAAGAGAAACATGCATTTTTTGAAGCAGCCTTCATGAATTGTCATCACATGCCCCTATATGACCCCGTAGTCTAAGAAGGGTAAAGAAAAAAGCCTTTACCCATAGCTAACTGTGGAAGCTGACCTCGGCTGGCTGCTGGATACCCACCTAGCCACTCTCTCAATCCCCTTTAGGAATAGGAGAGGTGAAGAAACTAAGATGAAAAACCTCATGGCTCAAGATAAGGATGGGGTGTAATTCATCAACTAACACCATGGGCAAAACAGACTTGACTTAGAGAAGATTAATTTAATTTATTGCCAGCTAATAACAGAGTAGCACAGTGAGAAATAAGAACAAAACTAAAAACACCTCCTCCCCATCTTTGGGCAGCATTAAGTCTGTCTCTGAGCTGGCTAAAACTGTCCCTGTCCAATATGGGGGAAACCCTGGTCTCTTCTCACAGACCACAGCTTCCCACTACCAAAACCTTTCCCCATAGCTCTGGATAGCCTTACTTTTGTTTTGCAACCAGTGCTCAAATGGTATCATTATGCTTGCTCTCTCTTGGCTATCATCAAGGAACATTTTGCATGGGAATGGAAACAATTTGTGCGTAGGAGGTTCCTGTTATCTGTCCAGAAGAAAAACTAATCATTGCCATCACTTTCTTCATGCAGTTTTGCAAATTCTCAGCATTAGACAATGAACCAGCTGTCACGCTTTTCAGCTCAGTACTGATGAGCATTTCCTCCCACATGCCAGGTGAAGGGGCCAGGGATTGGCCTGCTTGGTTACTCCAAAGGAGGCGAACTGTCTCTCGCCATGGCTGCCTTCCTGAAGAACATCACAGCCATTTGCTTCCCTCAATGGCCCTGTGGCTGCTACATTTATTCCTCTCTGTTACAAGGATAAAACCATCCCCATTTTGACCACATACATATCAAGGTCACCGATTCCAATATTCTTGATTGTTCTGATGTCCTTATTGACCCTTTTCAAGCCCCTGGCAACCGAAGCCTGATCCCAATAAAGAAAGCTGAGGCACAGCTACTATTCATCATGGGACAAGATGACCATGTTGTCAAAAGAAAGTATTATGCTACTGAAGTCTGCAAGCTTTTGCAGGCTCAAGGGAAGGAAAATTTTCAGATTCTCTCCTACCCTGGAACAGGGCACTGCATAGACCCTACCTTTTTCCTTTGTACCCCATAGGAAACCATCCCGTTTTTCACAAGCGGGCAGTCGTGGGTGAGGAGTTCGGGGCTTATTCTAAAGCTCAGGTTCTTGCTTGGCCACAGATCCAGGCTTTTTTCCAGAAATATTTAAATGACAAGTAATGTGCAACAAGTGATGTGCAAGCAACACACAACTTTGAACAACCAGATCTAATAAATTCTGTTACAGTTATCAATCTAACAGCTTGTTTCAGCTGTACAACTACAGTATCTTCCAGGACTTTACGCATCCATGACTCAGAAAAGAAAGGGGTTTGCCTTTTCTTCCCTGAACCTTTTTGTTCAAGTGTCAAGAAAATGCATGGCATTTTTTGCCTTTTATAAAACACCTCATGTGCCAAATGTGCTGTTATGTTTCTTGGGGGGGGTTCTATTCTCCTAATGCATTCTTGACAATACTTTCCATATCACTGTGGTCTCTACATGTACACACTATCCTCAGCTCATACTTGAAAGCAACACCTCCCAAATCACAATTTTGGAGCAGGGATTTCACTGTTGTTATGGTGAATGTCTCATTGCAAATGGAAATGTCTCTGATCTCTGTGCTGCTGGGAGTGTGCAAAAATGGATGCTATAGCCAGGTTGCTGGACTGTTTCTGGTTTACCCTTGGGGAAGGTTGTTTGCCTTCTTCCATCTTCCCTTCACAATGCTGTGTTCTGGCTAGTGGATACTTCTGGCTCCAAGATGTAATGTAAAAAAACTTCCTGCTGAATTTACAATCATTGTGATCTTCTCCCACATGATGTGGAACATTTTAATCTTTGTTATTGGGTTGAGAATTGTAATAAAGGACTGAGATTTGAAAACCATGGAGTCATTTGTTCTGCTTTGGTTAGAAGCAGGGTTTGCAACTTGACCACTCTCTCATCCCAGGGTGAAACCTTGGGATTGCAGAAGCTTGGGATCAAGGGCTGCCCAGGTAGGAACAGGACACCATAGAAGATAGTCCTCTTACCTTCACTCTTCCACTCCTCTTGTGTCACCAAGCATAGAGGAGAAGGAATGCTGCTGAAGCCTCCAGGACCTTTTCCCTTAGCATCTGCTACAGCCTATGGTCAAGCTGGTGATCAAATCCAGTAGTGTAAACCAAGGATTGTTTTTCTCAACAACAGGAGTAGTTGCCACACATTGAGGGCTAGACACCAGACAACATGCCCAAATGCCAGACGACAAAGCACCTCATCTGTTTAGGAGAGAATGGGTAATCTCCACAGGGAAGGAAAGACTGCTGAGACTCCATCCAACACCTCTGACCACTTAGTATTTCCAAACAGGACAACGCTCGAGATTCCCTCAGATGCTTCCACTTGTTTCACACCACTAAGTCAGACATGAGGAGTTCAGAGTGTGAGGCACCCCTACCTGCATCTCCAGAAAGACTCGGGGAGCCTAAGGAAACAGCTGTCCCTCTGCAGCTCCTTTTGGATCAGAAGATCCAGCTCTGGGCAAGATGGACTGAATGGCCTTCTTTTTTTAAAACCTTGCAAAATCCATTACTAGAAGAGCCAGATATTTCCTGACCTACCTAAAGAGTCTGTGAAAGCACTCCCTCTTCATCCCTCCTGCACTACTGATGATCCTAATCATCCTTCCCAATTCACCTGGCTGTGCATAAGCCACCTTGCCCATGCCTTGGGGCAACCAATACAGAGGCAGAACCGGCAAGGAGAGGCGAAGCACTGCCGGGCTGGTGCTGGTGTGGCTTCTCCCCGCCGCGGCTGGGGCTGGCCCACGCTCCGGTCTCTCGGCTGAGCGGCACAGCACAGTTCGGCCCTACTCGGGGTCGCTGCCGGCGAGCAACAGCTCCGCGCTGCCCTGTCTCTGTGCGGTCGGTCCCACACAGGCCCTTCGCTGCCCGGACGGTGAATCCCGACTGCGATTCCGCTCGGTGGCTCGTCAACGCCTCTGCCCGTCCTGCCCCGCGTGTCCCCCCGCCCGCAGCCACCGTCCGGTCCAGGGGAGCTCGGGGGGACACTGAGGAGCTCTCTGGGGCCAGGACAGGTCGCAAGAACTCGGCAGAGTTTGACAGAGAACCCTCCCATAGCCGGAAGGGCAGGGTCGAAGACAGAGGAGAGGCGAAGAGTAGGCGGGCGGGGCGGCGGGGAAGCAGGCCGGCGGGGCGAGGGACCTACCGCCCCGCTCCTGCCCGCGGGGTCTTACAGCGGCACTCCGGGATCGATCCCGACTCCGGTTCCGCGGGGACCCGCCCCAGAATCCGCCCCCAGAGGCGTGAACTACCCGGGGCAATGTGGCAGATCACTGCCCGCTCCCTGCGCCGGGCCAGCTCCCGTAGCTGGCAGAGACGAGTGCCCTGGCCCGGCCCCGCGCCTGCAGCCCCACGGTGCCGCAGCCCCGCGCGGACCCCCGGGACAGCCTCTGCCCGTGGACTCGCCTCCATGGCCCCCTCCATCCGCTTCTCGCCCGCCACCCGCAGCCTCTTCGATGAGCCGCTGGCCATCGCTGTGCAGGGCCTCGGCCCGCGGCAGCAGGTCACGCTGAGGACATCCTTGCGGGATGAGAAGGGAGAGCTCTTCCAGGCCAGTGCCCGCTACCAGGCGGGGGACGACGGGGAGCTGGACCTCGCCCGCTGTCCTGCGCTGCCGGGAGGCAGCTTCTCTGGCCTGGAGCCCATGGGGCTGCTCTGGGCTTTGCAGCCCCAGAGACCCTTCTGGCGCCTGGTGAAGCGGGACGTTCAGAGCCCCTTCCTCCTGCAGCTGGAGGTGTTTGAGGGCCACGGGAAGCCTCCAGGGCGGCTCCTGGCCCAGGCGCAGCACGAGCGGGCGTTCCTGCGGGACGGGGTGCGGAGAGTCCCGGTGCGAGAGGGGAGGATCCGGGCGACGCTTTTTCTGCCCCCCGGTGAGTACCGGCCGTGCCGGGCTCCTTCTCCCACTGGTGTTGCTCTGCTTTCAGCCCCGCGCTTCCAGGCCCGGAGTGTGACCCCTTCCAGGCTTCCCCTTAGGACAAGGGGAAGCCTCGCCCTGCCAGCTGGCACTAGACACTTCTCAAGGAGCGGTCTGATCAGCCCAACCCTCTTTGGTCTGCTGCGTGCACTCATTACGTAGAGCAGCTATATGTGCTGAAGCACACTTGAGTTTATTTAATTGATTCTTACTGGACATGAAAGCATTTATCACAATACCCTTCTTGTTCCCAAATGCTGTGGGAGGTGGTGTCAGCCAGTCTTCAAGATGCCTTTCCTCTACCTGGCTGTTTCCCAGGGAATTCAGCTAGTAATTCTTTGAGTAAGTAGAAGGTTGCTCTCCCAAACTATAGCGTTCAAGCCTGCTGCTTCCCTTTCCCACCTCTCCACAGATCCTGAACTCAGTTATATCCTAGTTGCTGAAGCCCAAGGCAATCCAAGCTGCCTTTTGCTGCTACATTTGTCCCCAATTCTTCCTTGTTTGTGAGCAGAAGATTAAGGAAAGCATTAGACAGGTTTGCTCTTACAGTATTTTTGTCAGAAAGTAATCATTACTATGGTCTGTGAGGTTTTCAGATTGCCTGACAAATGCTGTGTTGTCCTCCCAGCAGCTATCCAGATTTCTGCTAGTTGGCTGTAGGAAACTTCATTCCCTTGGTTGAGTGGTTTGCAGCAGCTGCACCACTGCCACACCCCAGCTTTCCTTCCCCCTGTGATCCAGAGGCTTTCACCAAGCATGTCTCTGGAACCTCGTGTACTCAAAGAGCTCCTCTATGTATCGTGTGCTTTCCCCTTTCTTCCCTGTCTGTCCCTGGCAACTCCTCCATGACAGCGCTAAAATCATACATGCTGTCCCAGCCAGTGTCCTGGGCTCTGACTGCGCTGTAGCCTTGAGGCTGGAGGTGAATTTCCTGTTCTTCTTGCTTGTTGCCCATGTTCTCCATGTTAGTCTGCAGACACCTGAGGGAAGCCTCACCTTCTCTCCTGAGGAGGAACGGGAGTCTCCCTCTTGGCCTCCTCCTTTCCATACTTTGTTAGCAGTTTGCGGCAATCCCTCAGCTTTGGACTTGTCCCCTGATGAACCTAATGTAAAGGTTCTCTTAGCAGGTTAGCAAGGTTAGTTTCAGATATTTTCTTCTCTTAATCCCAGAATAAATAGCCATAGTACGTTTACACTGAAACTGAGAAGCTGGAATCATCAGAAGAGGAGATTTTTTTTGATACTGAGAAATGCAGCAAGGAAAAGCCTCCTGGGTATAATTCAGAGCTTGATAGCTTTGCAGTGAATTTACATGATACAGAAACTAGTTGTGACTGTCAAAAGATCAATTCTCTTCCAGCCACATGTTCCCTGATGTTATCCAGAACATTACCAGGCCTGCTAATTTTTGCTGGCTTGTTTAATATTGAAGCAATGTAGCCATTTAATTAAAACTGGCACAGCAGTTTAGGACCCTTAACACCATTCTGCTGCTTTAGTTTTTTTTCTTTTTTTAAAAAGACACATTCCCAGGCCTATGATATTGGCATATAACTTAAGAATTGTGGGTTAATGTGTCCTGTTATATGGTCTCTCACAGGAAATGGCCCCTTTCCGGGAATTATTGACTTATATGGAACTGGAGGAGGACTCCCTGAATACAGGGCATGCCTGCTGGCCAACTACGGCTTTGCTGTGCTGGCTCTGGCTTACTACAGCTATGAAGATCTCCCCAAAGAGATGAAGGAATTCCACCTGGAATATTTTGAAGAAGCTGTAAACTATATGTTACAACACACCCAGGTTGGTTTGTTCATTGACTCACTACAGTGAACTCTCATTATTTCGGTCCTGTCAGACTGCAGATGGAGCAGAGCTGCTGTATTTAAAATAGCATCACTGTTAAGTTGGCTGTGATTAATTTGTTTGATATCTTTAATTCCCATTACAATGGCTCTCTGGCAGCTTATTCCAATTCTTCCTTCTGAAGTGGCCAGGAGAAACAGTGACACATAAGTAACATACTGGTAATTTCTACTCCATTCAACCCAGTGTCATAACTAGGGTGCTAGATGCCTGGAGACTTATTTGACTTCCAGCAGGGCTTTTAGGTTTATGCTCTGTAGAATGTCCTGCAGATCTTAATGTCCTTTTCAGCTGTGGAGCACATGATAACCTTCTGTGATACAAGTCTCAAGGAAGTCCACCAGTACACAGTTGTTGCTGTGTATTTTCATCATCATGGCTAGGCTACGAGAACGAAGATTTAGGAAGGCTTTATCCACATTTTTTACAGGCACGCTGGTGGCTTTTATACGCTGTTAGAATCACTCCAAATGTTGTTATTTGGTGAGT